CTTTTCAAAACAGTGTTAATCTTGCTTGGAATAAGAGTTCAATGTTGAAATAATATCATATATAAAATATTATGTCCTACTTTGTTTCACTGAACTTCATATCAACGTATTATTGAATTTCATTAGAAATATGTTATAAACTAAGTACAGAAAGATGTTTATTATTTTATGTGATACAAGAACCCTAAATTAGTTTAAAATTTCCTTATTACTGCTCATTTAGAATATTACCAATAGTTTATCACTAAAGACACTGCTATAGTTTGATGACAGATAATGCATGATAAAATTTAATTTTGACGTTATTTGTACTTTACAGTTGAGATGAGAAAATAAATGCATATAAAATTTAATAACATATCCAAAATGAATAAAAAATAAATGGCCAACTAAAGATTTCAGTTTCTCTCTCTCTCTCTACATATATACGTATATACATACACACACACATAAACATTGACACATAAAGATAGATATTTAATAGTCTGTTCCCTATTCAAATCCTTGTTCTGTATTTGAATTTTTTAAAAAAAATTTGTTAGTACATGTTGCTAATATACTTCCAGTAAAGTAGTGCTGTTTGTGTTCATTAAGATGAAATTGCTCAATATGCCCCCTTCTTCCTTATTGATATTATGGAAGTTTTCATTCTTGGTAATTTACAACTCCAAATAACATGTTTCTCCATTTCATTTTAACATCTCATAAACTACTAGGTTTAAACTTATGAAATTGAGGCCAGGCGTGGTGGCTTATACCTGTAATCCCAGCACTTTGGGAGGCCAAGGTAAACGGATCACCTGAGGTCGATAGTTTGAGACAGCCTGACCAACATGGAGAAACCCTGTCTTACTAAAAATACAAAATTAGCCAAGCATGGTGGCACATGCCTGTAATCCCAGCTACACAAGAGGTTGAGACAGGAGAATCACAGAGGTGGAGGTTGCAGTAAGCTGAGATCACCCCATTGCACTCCAGCCTGGGCAACAAGAGTGAAATTCCATCTCAAAAAAAGAAAAAAAAAATTGCTAATCTACACTAATTGGACTTACAGTGTTGGCAATGTTATATGCTTCAACATGCAAGTTAAATTTTTTTTTAGTTTTTAGTGTTTTTAAATCTCCTGTGACTTTTCCACTTAAGTTCTTTTTTTCTGTAATTGCCTTAGTATTTTTCTTATCAGTTTGTATGAGCTCTGCACCTACCGGTACATTAACTCTTTTGAACTAATAAATAATTTGATGAACAGAAGCAGGAATTACAAAATAACACATAATACTAAAATTGTCAATGTAATAGATTAATATTTTGAAGTAATTTTCATATTATCTAGAGAGATAAATTACAGAAACACACATATAGATATTTATATTAAATTGTTAAGGAAAATTGAGATAATTAAAAACTTTGCTTTTTAAATGACAGCACTAGTTAAATGAAAGAACATGGAAATTCTATGTAGAGGGCAGTATATTCAGTTTATTATTCTTTAGTATTAATATCCAAACTTACACAAATTTCAGTGCTAAATTGAAACACTTGAATTAGTAACATCTTTTACACTATCTGTTTAAACTCAGAGGTAACAACCAAGTTTCCACGGGATGAGAAAAAAAAAAAAGAAAAGGGAGGAAAAATATATCTGGTCTACAATCATTATTTAGGAAGGATTATATATTTTTTTAAACTTTAAGCCCATATGGAAAGAACCTAAAATTAAGGTAAAATATTTTAAAGTGTATATTTATATATTCACAAATAATCATTAAAAATTGTATATATATTCAAAAATGAATAATGAAGTTTTTCTCATTAATAATCAATAATTTCTACAGATATCATCCTCAACCAACTCAAAATACATTTATTGTGTATATTTATTTTTGGTAGTCAGTAAAAGTTTTTGTCATGGTTTTTTTCAACTCATACAAAAAACAATGAATGAAATGGTTTCTGTGAACTACAGTTGTGCAGAAGATTATTACTGATCTCAATTTTATTTTTTGAGACAGAGTCTCACTCTGTCAGACAGGCTAGGATGTAGTGGCACAATCTCAGCTCAGTGTAACCTCCACCTCCTGGTTCAAGCGATTCTCATGCCTCAGCCTCCTGAGAGTTGGGCTCGTGGGCGCGTGCCACTACTCCCAGTTAATTTTTGTATTTTTAGTAGAGACGGGGTGCCACCATGTTTGCCAGACTGGTCTTGAGCTCCTGACCTCAAATGATCCACCTGCCTCAGCCCTCCGAAGTGCTGGGATTACAGGCATGAGTCACCGGGACCTACTCTCATCTCAATAATTAAAATACTTCAGTATATGCTTTGTATGTTTTATAAATATCAATCCTCAAAATCACATTCAAATTTTATTACCTTTAGTGTTAGCTAAAAGAAGTCTTTGAAGTTGCTAAAGGACAAATAGTTAAAGTCTAGTGTCTTTGTAAGGTATTAACTTGACCAGGCTAACCTACATCTACAATTCTTTTTCTTGCATGTTTCTGTTAGGAGAAATTTTTATGGAGGGCAGAAATGATGTGGCAGCCATTTAGTAGCTCACCCCTTTCCTGCTGGCTCACATTTTTGGCAAAAGTCAGTTGTAGAGCCTTCCTCTGGAGTCTTTTCTTCTGACTCCGGGGCCAGATGTATGGGTTAAGCTTTGTGAAAGTGGTCCTGGATTTTGTAGGATATCCATGTCATCAGGGTAGAAGCAACAAGAAAAGTTGTAGGTTTCAGTTCATACTCAAAAGCCTTAGCTCATGCCTGTGGGTTTTAGATTGTTACGGTTCTGCTTTCCTTTTTTAACTTTGACTGATGCAGACACGAAATGATCAAAGAGTGAATGCCAATATCCATATCACAGTAGTGCTATCAGCTCAAAATCGAACCAATATTTGAAACTTTGTTTCACGACATGAAAGTTCTCTCTGTACCACCAGCATGCTGACTACGTGAAAGTGCTTGGAGAAATTGTGAGATATTACATAAATTTAGATTTTTATCATTATTATCCACATTATTCCTCTTAAGCTTTGCCTAGTGAATAAGTACAGCATGCTTTCAAGTGCAAACTTTATTAGAGGTACATGTAATGTCAGGTTCATGACTACACCAATTGTCATACACAGGTTCTGGTTCTAGTTCATGCTGAGTTCTGAAGGGAGTGGGCAGATGAGAGGATAGTTGAAAGAGCACTCGCATGATCACAGGCATGTGAAATGTAATTTTATTCAGCAGCTCTCTCATCAGCAGCTCACTCACACTAGTTCTCTCATGCTGTCCGCCTTGCCTCAGCTGCTTAGCCTGGCAGCTCCCACACACAGCTGCTAGGCCAGCTCTCCCTTGCCTTCAGGGTCAGCAGCTTAAGTCTTTCTCTTTCTGAGACCCAGCAAGCTGAGCTGTGTCCTGGCTCCCCCTGTCCATCTGCAAAGACAAACAGCTCTGACTCTCTCTCTTTCTCTGTGTACAAGCACATCTGTACAGTGTCAGCAGGGCAATTATATCTTTTACAGACAATAGTGCCATAGAGCCAAATGATGAGCCTTCCCATGGCTATGTTTACATTATACATGGAATTGTGCACCTGCACTCCTAACTCGCTGAGTCATTCTGGCCCAGATGTCCACCTCAGCCTATTTCTTGACCAAAACACAGCCATGTTCCTTACACTTATACTAATATTAAACATTAAAAGTTGATTACAAATGATACATGTTTTTATTAGGCTTTGAAAAACACCCTCAAAGGAATTAGCTAGATTCTGTTACTTACTGAACAAGAAATAGCTAACAAAGTAAAAAAGTCAACTAACCTTTTAATAGAACCCACTGGTTAAACAGGGAATCCCCAATGTATTTATTCCCCTTTAATCTTGACATCTGCTATATAGCTCTCAGCTACCAATTATTGCTGTCATTTGTGCTGTAACTTATCACAGTGAGTATACATATACAAATGTGTATGCATGTATATGTAGTGCTTTTTGACAATACATTAATTCATGTCCAATAGTTTGCTATTTAAAGCCACCCTGTCTGCCCCTAGTCTCTACCCACCAATATGTTTGCTGTGGCTAAAATAAAATTTACACAATATGATTCAACTAAATGTGTAAATGAACTACACATATTTAAAATATACTCTGTCAGAATATCCTCTGGATTCTCTAAGGTATCCATACATACTCCTATCTCACAGGGATTTCAAAAAGAGAAATGATGATTGATTATCTCAAACTATTAAGGGCCTAAAGTTCACAGTTACAAAGAGCCAAATTGGCATCTAAGCTTTCTGACATCAGGTCCATAACATTTTTGAATTATTACTAGATATCAAGTCTTCTATAAATGACTATGATAGAATAATCCTCCTTCTCGCTGGCAAGATGTGCATGTCCTAATTTCTGGAATATGGGAATATATGTTATATCCTACAGCAAAAGGAACACTGCAGATGGCATTAAGATTACAGGCCTTGAGATGGGAAGATTTTTCTTGTCTACCTGGTGGACCCAATCTAATCACATAAGTAATTAGAGTGATAAGAAGTACTCAATCCACCATAGATGGTTTTGAAGATGGAGAAAGGAAGCCACAAATCCAGGAACGCAGGCAGACCCAACAAGCTTTAAGAGGCAAAAAAACTATATTATCCCCTAAACCCTCAAAAATGGTTTTACCAGCACTTGATTTGACTGCCTACTGGGCTTCATGTTAGCTCAGTGCACTCTATGTTGAACTTTTGACCAAAATAACTGTAAGATAGTAATTTTTTATTGTTTTAAGTCACTAAGTTTGTGGTAATCTGTTACAGAGGCAATAGAAAATTAACACAATGGCTTATGCCAGTTAGTTCTCAAACAAATCAGGTAGCATTATTATACTTATTTTACAGTAGAGAAAAATTAGTCTCGTAATGATTAAGTGAACTAAAATCACCTGGTTAGTGAGAGATGAGCAGAAGTTAAACTCCACGTTTGTCTCAGTATGAAAATGACAATGTTTAGTAGGTTTAGCCTAAAGCTGCCTCCTTACATATTTTAACTTTGGCCTAAAGGTTTTTCTGAACATGTGAACCAGAATAAGCGGTGATGTAAGAAGACTGTAGCCCACACTTGTGCCAATCACCGAGTTTTGGCCAATCAAATGTAGCCAACTGTTTAAACTATGTTCAAGTAAGACAAATACTGTGCTATAACCAATCCAGTTGTTTCTGTACCTCATTTTCTTTTTCTGTACCTCACGTTACGTTTTCTGTTCATAAATCTTCTTTCACCACGTGGCTGCATTGGAGTCTCTGAGCCTATTCTGACTCGGAAGACTGTGCAATTCGCAAATTGTTGCTCAAATAAACTCTTTTAAATTTAATTCGGCTGAAGTTTTTCTTTTGTCCACAATTTATGAGACACATTTTAAAACAACATGCATTGGATAAAGTTTTAGAAGGAAAGAATAAATAGGAAACTGGCAGAGATTTATAATTATATGAGATGTCTGATAAATTTCCAGAATTAATAACATACAAATTCTTAATTAAAACAAAATGCCAATTCTTAAGCAGAATAAAAAGGCACATGTTCAGTAATAGACATCATAATAAAACTATTTTTAAAAGCAGAAAATTAATAAAAAATTGTAGATGTCATAAAGGAATATTTAGTAGCTAGATAATAGACTTCTTATCAGCAACAACAGCAAGAAAGTATTAAACTTAATTGTCTAAAGAATTGAAGAAAGAAAGTCAAATCAAACTAAAACAATCCCAGGGGCTTAGAATTCTCAATCCAGCTAAAGCATCATTCAAGATTAAGAGCAAACTAAAGATAATTACAGACGGTTAAAGACAAAGAAAATACAGAGTAATTTTGTGGTTGAAAATAAGCTGATATTGAGGTACAAGCAAAAGGACACGGGATACAAGAAGAGAATATTAATAGTTGAGGTACTTAAGATTTTTATACCCTAGTGAGATTAGAACTGATGATTATCACTATATATAGCATTTGTGGGTTTTGTTTGTATTTTGTTTGTTTGCTTGCTTTTTATAAGTTAAGGTAACTTCTAAGTATAAAAACATCCTGTGATCTTCCAGACTAGGGAAGTAAATGTAAAAGGGTTAGTGGGAGGGAGAATTAAGCAATAGCTTTGCATCAATACAGTAAAGAAATGAGAATAAAAGTAAAGAAACAAAAAGAATAAGAACACTTACCAAATAAAAAAATCAAAATAATTTGCTAAACTCAAAATTATGTGAAGATACTAGAGAAAGATGAACTGATCTCCTGTATCTAAGCAGCTAAAAACGACCTATAAAATAAAAATTACTATTACAAGTTGAGATTAAAAGAAATAATACATAATATCCATTTTTAGAAAAGAAAGATAAGGCCTGGTGCAGTGCCTCACACCTGCAATCCTAACACTTTGGGAAGCTGAGGCAAGAGTATTGCTTGAGGTCAGGAGTTCAAGACCAGCCTGGGCAACGTAGCAAGACTCTATTGCTATGAAAAAATAAAAATAATTAGCCAGGCACAGTGGTGTGTGCCTGTATTCCCAGTTACTTGGAAGGCTGAGGCAGGAGGATCACTTGTTACCGGAAGTTTGAGGCTGTAAGGAGCTATGATTGTACCATTGCATCCCAGCCTGGGTGATAGAGCAAGATCCTGTTAAATAAGTAAATAAATAAATAAAATAATATTAAAAAGAAAAAGAGAAAAAAAGAATGCTAAAACTATAAAAAGCAGTAAACCCATATCATGCTGCGGCAGTGGCTCATTTAAGGTATTAAAGAAGGCGGGAATTGTAGTTACTTATAACCTAAATTATAATACTACAGAGAAAATAAAACGGAGCCTTAATCTCTACAAGGCAACAAGTTTAATCTAAGACTAATACAGAACATGCTAAGGGCTGCATATTAAAAGAAAATAACATACTAAAACACAAACAAAGACTCTTTTGAAAAAGACGGAGAAACTTGTCTCACTTTATTGTCTTATGGGGAAAAGTTGTCCAGAGAAAGGAACGCTGGGCTTTGAAACTTGAATGGGTTTACAATTCAAACGTATTTTTTCAAATACCACTGGGAGATCTCAAAGAAGCATATGTAAAATTTTTCCACCACATTCGCGACATAAATAATTGACATTCAAGATTAACTAATGATGAATATTCACACTAAAAGTATTAAACTTTTGAAGGAAGAATGGACCATTGTATTAAGCTATGCCATGTTCTGCTCCTTCCTGAAAATAAGAGAATCTACACTTTCCTGCATCCTTCTAATTAGTCAGTACCATTGATGAGGTCTGCAGATTGAAGTGAGATTGTAGCACTTCTGACAGGAGCCAGAAGAAAGCCCTGTTCAATTTTCTAGTCTTTCTTCCCCATGAACCAAAACAAATATAGAAGATTACTGCATCCCTGCAAGTAGGACAACTACTCTGGGAAGTAGCCTGTACCCCAGATAGAATATCAAGAGTAAAAAACAACGAAGACACATTATTTAACATGTGATAACACATAAACATTTTCCAGAATTGATAACAGATTGAAACTCCTTAACAAATTACAGGCAGAAAAATCAGTCAACAAAAAGCGTCAAACTGTAAAATATTAGAATGACTTATTCTGAGCCAAATATGAGTCACCAAGGCCCGAAGCACTGTCTAAAGAGGCCTTGAGAACATGTGCCCAAGGTGGTTGGATTACAGCTTGATTTTATACATTTTAGAGTAAAAGAAGTTACAAGCTGATACATAAATCAATACATATAAGAAATACATTACTTTGACCTGGAAAGGTGTGACATCTCAAAGAAGGGGCTTTCAGGTCATAGGTGGAATTAAACATTTCTTGATTGGAAATTGGTTGAAAAGGTTAAGTAGCCCAAAAAGTTGAAGTCAGCGGAAATAAATGTTTATATTAAGCCTGAAGGGGTTTATAGAGGCCAAGGTTCTTCCCATGTAGATGAAGCCTCCAGGTATTAGGTTTCAGAGAGAATAGATGTTAAATGCCTCTTATCAGACACATAAAGGTGCCAGACTTAGTTAAATGTCATCTATATCTGAAAATGACATGGACAGAGAAGGGTATTCTCTATAGAATGCAGATTTTCCTACAAGAGACAGCTTTGCAGGGCCATTTCAAATTATGTCAAAGAAATATCTTTGGGGGTGAACTATTTGTATTTCTTTCAGGGCCTGCTATCTGTCCTGGGATGCTGTACTAGAGTTCAGGTTGGAATTTGGTATTTTATTGCTTAGAGGAGTCTCTTTTGTTAGTCTTAAGGTCTCTGTTTTAATGTTAATCCTGGTCAGCTGTGCCTGAATTCCAAAGGGAGAAGAGTATAATCCGGCATATCTGGCCTCAACTTCTCGTCATGGTCTAAATTACTTTTTCAGGTTTGCTTTGGAATGCTTTTAACAGAGAGAGGAGTCCCTTCTTTGGGTTGGTTGGTAAGCTTAGAATTTTATTTTTGGTTTACAAAACATACAACTTGGCATATCATAATGTAACTGGGGCAGGGCTGTGTAGTCAGCTCCCTCCCTGTTCCAATGAGGTCCATGGCCCCTCTTATCCTGAAGAATGGGGAAAGTGGCACTGAAGGCAGGGTGAGCTTGCTGTTTAAATAAATATTGAGGAGCCAAAGAGTCTTGCAGAAAGCAATTTATCAGGCAGAGAGAGAGAAAGAGAGAGAAGGAGAGACAGCTCCCATGCTGCCATGGGAGGGGACACAGAGAAGGAGTTTGTCTAGGTAAGGAGCAGCAGAGTTTTAACCCTGGACTTACTCCCTCCTCATTCATGTTCTCATTCAATGAGAGGAGTTCTTTCAAACTTCCTCTGCAGTGATTGATCTTTGACTCTGATACCGGATTGGCTGCTTGGTCCACAACAGAGCCCCTTCCTCCCAGAGTTTTCCAAGGCCTTTTTGGACAAAGAAGGCCACCTGGATTCCTCTACCTAGCCCATAAGTGGAAAATTCAGACAAAGAACTCTACGTTCCTCGATGGGGGTGTGGATGGAGGTGTGGTACTGGGAAACTCCTCACTTTGAAACCACACCCCTCGTGGACACGGGAAGAGAAGTTTTTTTTTCCTTAACACAGTCCCTGAGTCCCCCTTCTGAAGAGGAAAGTCCAACTGCTGTTGGGACATGGGCGTCGATCCCTCTTTAACTATTTCCAGCTGAATTGTGGCCTAGAAGGGGCCCTGCAGTTGAGGTTTCCTCCAGAGGGGAGTCTTCTAGGGGTGCAGGTTGATCCAGAGCTCCACAGTAGAACTCATGAGCCAGGGACATCTGGGGTTCCATTTGCAGGATCATTTGTGGCCTCATGGCCTTAATTCTAGAAGAAGCAAATTTGACAAGAAGGTTAAAGATGAGAGGCCCGAAGGCTAGCAATAATAGAATGGTTATAAACAGGACTAGAAGAGGGTAGAGCCAGGACAACCAGTTGCTAGACAAGCTCTGTGATCCTGTTTTTTGAAGGTCTTTAGCCCTGCGATTGATTGATCACTGAGTTCTTTAACTTTGTTTAAGACCATACCTGGTTGCTTTATAAAGTAGCAGCATTCTTTTCCTAGAAAGAGACAGGTTCCTCCTTTCTCTGCTGTTAGCAGAACTAGGGCCCTTTTATTTTGAAGAGCCACGACAGCTAAAGAGTTAAACTGCTTGTTCAGAGAGAATTATCAACCTTTTTCTATGTCATTATTTAACTCCTGAGATAGCTTATAGCAAAACTAAGTAGAGGTAGTAACTCTTCCGATGCCAGTGTCAAGTCCTCCTATTATTCCACACCCCACCCCATTATGAAAGGAATAACTGGAGTTCAAGTATGGCATGGCCTTGGCAAGAGAAGACTCTGCACCTGAGAGTTGGTGTTAATTGCTGGGGAGGCACCAGGAAGGAGAGGAGGAGAGCTATTAGGCCAATCCATAGGGGCAACGGCATTGAGTCCAGTCGCAAATAGCAAAGTCAAGAGTGATAGTCCTGTTAATGTCAGGATGTAAGTTAGACCCATGAGTAGTTACTTTCCTGGGGATCTCGTTGGAAGAGCAAATGTAGATCCTCTAA